CACTTTGCTAGTGCCAAAGAAAATATCCCCCACACCATTACACCACTACCAGCCTGAACCTTATATACAAGGCAGAATAGATCCATGCTTTCATGTTGTTTACGCCAAATTCTGACCCTACCCTCTGAATGTCGCAGTAACCAGTCTGCCCATTCTCCTCTGACATCAACAAGGAATTTTCGTCCTCATAACTGTGCTCACTGGATATTTTCTCTTTTTCGGACCATTCTCTGTAAAATCTAAAGATGGTTGTGTGTAAAAATCCTAGTAGATCAGCAGTTTTGAAACACTTAGGCCAGCCTGTCTGGCACCAACAACCATGCCACATTCAAAGTCATTTAAATCCTCTTTCTTCCCCATTCTGATGCTCAGTTTCAACTTCAGCAAGTCGTCTTCACCACATCTACATGCCTAAATGCATTGAGTTGCTGTCATGTGATTGTCTGATTAGCAATTTGTGTTATCAAGCAATTGAACAGGTAGTACCTAAGAAAGTGACCGGTGAGTGTATATGCAGATTGGATGTGATTTAAACCACATCCAATCCACATGAGATGTGAAATAATATTGCTTCCTATGGTGCCTGTTCACATATGTATGATGCACTGGCAGCACGGATTCAGTGCCATTTGAAAAAGAGTCATGTCCGATTTCTGAGCAGTGCAGTTCAGGTATGGATTACAGGCTATTGACTTCTATGGGAACCATTTCTAAACTGCACATGTCATCAGTTGTGAATAGGATAAAATCCTGACCTCAACCTGATCTAAACCTGATCTGAACCTGATATAAACATGGCCTGAACTGCTGAACAACTATTGTCAATTAGCTGTGAAACGTGAGCTTCAATCAGCACTACACATGTGTGAATACACCTTACTCACAATACAACAAAGCATATGATGTATTTTCATTGTTATATATATATATTTCAGGATGAAACTGGTCTTTCTCAACCAACTATGAAAATTCTCTGTGATTTGGTATGATAAAGTGTTTCAGAATGTTTAATTCAATATTGCATATACAGGCTTACGTATTTACATATTTTCCCTGGTAAAAATGCAGTTGCACATCACAAGCTGCACTGTACTTAAAAAATATAACACATTAAGTAAAAACATGGATAGATTATTGTATGGTAGTGCAAGCCTTTAAATATGATGGTTAAAGGACAATTTCACCTTTTAACAAAAAAAAATAAATGCACATTTTTTTTGGCAGTAAAATAATGTGAATTTATTTTTTTTTGTTTCTGGAGCCAGTGTAAAGCATTGCATCAGTGATCAGCAGACCTGTCAGTATATCTGCTTGCTTGTATATTCTGTACGGGCAGGCAGATACTTACTGACAGGAATGCTCAGTGAACTACCACAATGCCATGGTACTTAATTGAAAACTACAAGGCAACAGCCTCAAAGGCTGTTATAACATGTAGTTTTCCCATTCACAGAACACTGAGCCCCGTGCAGCTGCTTTTTTAACAAATTGTGACAGCTAGCGGGGAGGAAAAGATCCCCTGCTAGCTGTCACTACGGGGATCGGGGGGGGGCTGTCTGTTCATAACATGTTACATGTCACACCCACCCTGAATATGAGTGTAACATGTAACATGTTACGAAAGGTGAACTTATCCTTTAAGAATGGGTTAACTGTGTGACTAGCAAGTATTAATGTGTTTACTGTGCTCTGTTGTTTTTACAAAAGATTGATGTTTTTCTTTTCCCTGCTTAGCAGGGAAAAGAAATATGGCGATCTATCCCTCTGTATAGAGCTCCGTGTTGTTTACCAACACAGAGCTCTAGGCTGTGATTTGGCACAGCTGAACTGCAGGACTTGGCCATGAATCATTGGCTGGTATCTGCTGACAGTCTACCGCTGTGTCAAATCAATGGGAAGTAGGTGGGTGGGGAACCATGCGTTCCCCCAAACCCAGAAACAGGCAGCGGCGTACCAGTATATCGCCGTGAAGCTTACAGCTGAATGGTCCTGCACTCTTCTGGGACCTGTGACATATCGCTGTCAAAATCAGGTACCTGCTCCCCCCCCCCATTCCAAGCAAAAGTGCCCTTTCCTAAAGAGGAGTGAGGGAGGCCTTAAAGTGCAACTTCCCCCTTTGGGAAGTAAACTGTAGATAAAGATCTTGGTCATCATGCTCACAGCTTTTCAGCCTCTTTCTAGACTTGATTTAGTATGAAATCCTTACCTAGTCAGCTGATACCATATGTACAGATACAGTAGTATAGGTCTAGTGTCTGTTGCAAATGTATTCCCACATACCTTACAAAATAATATTCAATCTAACAAAATATCATCTTTTTTTTTTTAGTTAGAACCTGCTCTTAACATAGACTGTTTACCTGCACTCCTGGCAGTAAGTATCACATATACATATATAGAGGCTGTTATAATTGCATTTAGATATTATTATACAGGATTTATTATAATACAGGATATGTTATGTAACCAATAGATATGTTCTTAATCACTCAATTTGAATGTACTATGTCCCCTTGGGGTGAAGATGCAGACATAATAACTACCATAGGCATATTAATAATTGGAAATTTTTCAAGCCTGAAAGTTCGCCAGTTATGCTGCGGCATTCATTTTGTGGTTGTCTACATCTGGATTGAAGTACTATTTGCAAGATGAAATGGCCATTGTTAGGTGAGTGTGTACTATTAAAACGGTTTACTCCTTGCCTAATGAATGGTCATTTACAGGTAGGGTGGAACTGCTATTAGAGCATGTGCAGTGAATCTGCTCATTGATCAAATAATATTGTGTTCAGGAGAATCAGTGTAGAGTGCAGGGCTTTTTTTCAGCAGGAGCGTGGGAGAACGCAGTTCTAGTACCTCCAGCACTGATTGTATGTAATGGTAAGGGGGGCTGAGGTGTGCTGGAGGGTCTATGGATGATAGCTGCTGGAGGATGTATTGTTGCTGGAGGGGTCAATTTTTGCTGGAAGGGATCTACTGTTGAGGAAGGGTGTCTATTGATGCTAGCTGATGGAATATCTATTGTTTCCGGTGGTGTCTCTTGTTGCTGGGATGGATCTATTGTTGCTGGGGGATATCTTGTTGCTGGGGGGTCGATTGCTAGTGGGGGAAATATTGAAAGGGGATGTATTGTTGCTGTATTTAGCACCACAAAATTATACTTGGTTCTGTTTTCTCTAAAAGAGGCAGTACTGGGAGGTGGGTAGGGGGATCAACCAGAGATGGTGCTTGGAGGTGGATAGGGAGCCAAGGCAAGGGATGACTTGAAAGGAGGACTTCTTGCACCTATTCTCTGAGAAAAAAAAAAGCCCTGGTAGAGGGTATGTTTTTTGTACCTGAGGTCTGGACTGTTCATAAAGCCTCTGTATTATGCCACAAGTGAGGGCAGGATGACCAAAAAAGGTCTCTTCCCTGGGACCCATGCAGGATTTCAGAATCTTTTCCTTCTATCCAATTTGTGGACACCCACTCATTGTGACCATTTTCATACTGACCATTATCTTATACCCTACCTATTTAATTGCCCACTCATCAGTCAGTTTCAATTTACACAGCAATACAGCTGTTGATCCTATTGTATTCATGATTTCAAATGTCAGCTGCCTTGTAGCAGCTCAGTATATAGACGAACTCCACATAACACTGCCTAATTTAAAAAACATCATTCAAAGACTTTTCAAAATCAAATCATTTTTTAAAAATTTGTTTGGAATGTCTCCTAAGATGTATGCATGACACCAACACATTGATCAAAGGACATCAGTGCCTAAAAAATATTTATGGGCAGTATTCTGATTCCAACTGTTGTATTTGTGACTTTTCCTTTGCTGAGACCTCAGTGCCTGGCCTGTATAAGCAGATACGATCACCGCAGATAGTCTATCAGATAGCTGAACTAGCCAAACACCTTTTTTAAATTCATGGATCTTTTATTGCAATGCAGAAGTTACAGCAGACAACAAGATGTACCAGATGATTGAAAAGACGGTATTTGCAGGTCAAAACATGGTAATGTTGATGTGAGCAGATTACATGTGGCCTATAGATAAGAGGAGCGATGTTCATCCCAATTAAGACAGAGAGAAAAGGAAAAGAAAATACATTACTAGCTAGTGGTAGGGAACACAGGATGGAAGACAGAAAAAGATGGTACAATAACCAAAATGTTCACAAGATGGTAATATATTAACTAATTATATACTGAGGCTGATAAACAATGGCTTAAGGAAAATTAACTATATACATTCTCAATTCACAGTAATATGAACATGAACCATGGCTATGTATTGTTATATTTTTATACAAGTGTAACAGCACACTCCCCATCTGGTATGGTAAAATAGCACTATATTATAACATAATGGTAGTTATGCAAGTGCAAATAGTAAGTAGTGCAATTTTCAGTTGTCTTGAACACATGAAAGACAAAAGAAATAGCATGCAATTATATGCAACAACAATAACTGCAATGTAGGGCATCAAGTAGTGTCAATTAACGTTCAACGCACAATATTCTTGAGGTGAGAAACAAACCCAGGTAAGCAAGTTTCCTTCTCCAAAAGGCAAGAGCAAAACAAGTTCTGTGATGGGTCTGATGAAAGAATTTACAGTACCTTGTCTGGTAATTTTCACATCTACTCTATGTATTTTACCATCATCACTAGGAATGGTCTTTACAATAAACCCCATGGGCCATTCAGTTCTTTCAGCTTCCTGTTCCTTGAGCAGAACAAGGTCTCCAACTTGGAGATTAGGGATCAGACGTTGCCATTTTATGCGTCCCTGCAGAAGAGAAATATACTTCCAACGATTCCACAAGCAGTTGTCAAGTTATGTAGCCCAAAACAACATTTTTGTCAGTATAGAATTTGATGTTCCTCGGAGGGGACATGTGCACTGATCATCAGGGCACTGATGATCAGTGTGCCCTGAATATCAGTGTAGCCTCAGCAGTGCCACCTGTCAGTGTCCATCAGTGCCAGCTCTCAATGCTCATCCATGCCACCTGCCAGTGCCCATCAGTGCCACATCAATGCCACATATCAGTGCCTACCAGTGCACATCAATGACACATCAGTGCCCATCTGAGCTGCCTTTCAGTGTCACCGATCAGTGCTAGTCAGTGCCACATCAATGCCACATATCAGTGCCTACCAGTGCACATCAATGCCACATATCAGTGCCCATCTGAGCTGCCTTTCAGTGTCACCGATCAGTGCTAGTCAGTGCCACCTATCAATGCCAATCAGTGCCACCTATCAGTGCTACCAATCAGTGCCACCCTATCAGTGCCAGTCAGTGCTGCCTATCAGTGCCAGTCAGTGCCACCTATCAGTGTGCATCAGTGCCGCCTAACAGTGCCTGTCAGTGCCGCCTATCTGTGCCAGTCAGCGCCGCCTATCAGTGCCACCTATCAGTGCCATATATCAGTGCTGCCTTTCAGTGCCCATCAGTGATGCCTGTCAATGCCCATCAGTGCCTCCTCATCAGTGCCAATCAGTGTCCATCAGTGCAGCCTATCAGTGGCCATCACTGCAGCCTCATTAGCACACATCAGTGAAGGAGAAAAATCACATATTTACAAAATTTTATAACAAAAACTAAGAAAAAAAATTTTTTTTTTCAAAATTTTTAGTGGTTTTTGGTTTGTTTAATAAAAAATAAAAAACCCAGAGGTGAATAAATACCACCAAAATAAAGCTCTATCTGTCACAAAAAAATGATAAAAATTTCATATGGGTACAGTGTTGCATGACCGCGCAATTGTCATTCAAAGTGTGACAGAGCTGAAAGCTGGAAATTGGCCTGGGCAGGAAGGGGGTATAAGTGCCCTGTAGGCTAGTGGTTAACCACTTGCCACCAAGCCACTGTAGAAATACGGCGGCAGGGCGGCACGGCTGGGCAAAAGCACGTTTTAAAATGTGCATTTGCAAAACAGGTAGGGTGCGCGCACGAGGTGTGCCGCCACCCTACCTGCACCACCGATCCCGGCCGCGAGTGTCAGTCACCGGGTCACAGCTGGTCATTACCGACCGTGTCCCGCCAATTAGCGGCAATCACTGACAGAGAGCAGGGCTGCAGTAGCTCTGCTTTCTGTCAGTTCCCTGACAGCTCCTGTCAGGGACCGCCGCGGCGCCTCCCCCGGCGCACGCGCACTAGCGGCGGCTCACGCCGGGACACAAGCACCAGGTCCCAGTGGGCCGCGGCTGACAGGACGCCGCGCATGCGCAGTAGGAGCCGCGGGCGCGCCTTGGGCGGCCAATGACAGCCCGGGGGTGCGTCCTGGGCAGCCAATGACAGTGCAGGGTGCGATATTTAAAGATGCCCTGCACTGTCACAGATTGCCGCAAGGTCTATCTGTGATCCTGAGTTCCTGAACCTGTGATATTGACCCTGATTGCCCTGACTACACTGCCTTCTCCTGTGTTTGACCCGGATTGCCCTGACTACTCTGCCTTCTCCCCTCCTGACTCCCAGCTTGTTTGACCTATCTGCAACTGACTTATCCTGCTGACCCTGCGTGTGACCTGACTACTCTCCGCCTGCCGATTCTGTACCTCGCTTACCCCACGGGACCACTGCTCATGATCCATCCTGCTAGGTCCTGCCGGCCTCCTCACATCTGGCTCTCCTGGTACCTATACATCCCCGGAGGTTCCCTCTGCCACTGGTGGGCCTGCTCAGAGGTCGTGACCTGGTCCTGGTCTGTTACAAGTCATCCCCACCATCAGGGGCCCTGGTGAAAGCACAGACCGGGACTTAGACTCCACGCTTTGGGTAGGTCTGTCAAGTGGGCAGCCAGAGGCACCACCTGGCAGATCATAACAGCTCCTGACACGCTGATTGGGAGAGAAGAGTTTATCTATCTCTCCGGATCAGCCTTGTTCCCGTGCAGTACACACCCCTGCCCCCTAGTAAAACACTCCCCTCACACAGTTAACCCTTTCAGTGAATAAAAAAGTTAACCCCTTCCTCCCCAGTGCCATTAGTACAGTGTCAGTGTTTTTTGTTTTTGCACTGATCACTGTATTGGTGTCACTGGGGATGTCAGTGATCCCAAGTCAGTTCCCCCCAGTGCCATAAGTCGCTGATCTCCGCCATAAGTCACTGATCGCCACCATAAGTCGCTGATCGCTGCCATTATTAGTATAAAATTTTTTTTTAAAATCTGAGTATCTTTCCCACCATTTCTAAACGCTATAACTTTCATGTAAACCAATTAATTTACACGTATTGGTTTTTTTTTTAGCAAAGACATGTCACAGAATGCATTTTGGCCAAAATTTATGAGGAAATTTGATTTTTACATTTTTTTTACTGGACATGTTTTATAGCAAAAAGTCCAAAATATCGGTTTTTTTTTCTCAAAATTGTCAGCCTTTTTTTTTATGGCTCAAAAAATAAAAACGCACAGGCAATAAAATACCACCGAACGAAAGCTCTATTTGTGTGAAAAAAAGGACATAAATTTTGTTTAGGTGCAGCATTGCATGACCGCGCAATTATCAGTTGAATTAGTGCAGCGCCGAGTAGCAAAAAGAGGCCTGGTCATTAAGGGGGGTAAATCCTCAGGAGGGCAAGTGGTTAAACAAAATACTAATAATAGGCATAAAAACAGAAGGAATGAAGACCCACATTGGTAAAACAAAACCACAACAAAACATGGAAATCGTAGTGCTGAGAGAGGACTGAGGCTGCATTCACACTTGAGCGTTTTGTAGCTTGAGGTTCGAGGCTCCAGGAACTCTCAAACTTCAAGGTTAATACTTGTCTATGTTGTCTGTGATCTATGTTGTGTGATCAGGTCAGAACAGGCAACATAGAGAACAATTGACTTTTTAGGTTTGAGCTTTTTTGGAGTTTCGGGCTTCGGGCTACAGGGAGCTCAAGTGTGAATGCAGCCTAAATGATAGTGATATGGTCTTCTGAACAGCAGGAACTTGATAATACATAAGCAAAAACTGGCAATAGTACTTTCTCCCATTGTTTTTTTTAAGGACCTTTGGGATTCCGCCTCTGCTTGACGAGCTGCCATCTCTGCTTGCAGAGTTTTGCTCTGAGCTTCTATCTTTGCTTTCTTTCTGGCAAAGGAGCTTTGCACTTTGGTGTCCATTTATGACACACAGAATAGCTGAGATTCAGAGGGTCGCAGCTATTCTCTGGTCATTCACAGTTTATGACACCCAGGAGAATATGTTCAGCCCTTCTCTGGAGATCTGTGTTCTCCCTCCAGATTCTCCAGCCCAGAGCTGGAGAATCGGAGGGACCGAAAACTAAGCAGAGATAATTTACCTCTGTTTAGTAAACTGATCTTTTACTGTAATCTCGCGAGATTATAGTAAAATCAGCCGTTTTCCAGCGTTTGTAGACCGTTCTCCCTTCGTTTGGAGAACTGATCTACATATGCTTCATAAACGGCATTCACAGGAGAACTGTGTTCTCCGAGAATGCCGGAGAACTGAACAGCGATCTATTACTGCTGGTTCATAAACGGACACCATAATTTGCTTCCAGAGTTGCACGGGCCTCTATTAGCTTGTCACTTAATGTTGAGCTTCTGGAGAGAGAGGATCTAGAAGAACGTGCTGTGAGCTTAGTAGATGTAGGTTTATGAGATCTGGTCTCCTGTAGTTGAGCAATGTGGAGTTCTGCCTTATCCTAGAACTTGCACTAAGAGATCTCTTTGCTGGTTTGGTGCATCTTTCTTAGTTGGTTCTGCTAAATAGCCCTCCATATTAGAGTCCTTCAAGAATGCTGGCAGCATTCGTATGCTGCAGACAGGCAATCTATAGAGTCTAATTTCAGCCGGTTAATAATTAAAGCAGAACTCTGGGCAGAAACATATTTCTATGTTGCTTCTAGTACTCTCCTACCTTGAGCAAACATGTACTCCATTTGTTTACTCAGGCTGAAGTTTAGAAGAAAATGAATGAGCATTATTTAGATCACAGGCTTCCTTCCCTATGATTTCTGTTTTGTAAGACTGGTGGCTGCTGTTTCCTCTGTACCCACATCCATCGGTCTTGTAACTTCCCCATTGTAGTTTTGTGCCAGTGTAAAGGACGGATCTTGGGAGTGTCAGACACCCAGTCTGTACCTCCCACTCATAAGCATAACAACATAGCTCTGCCCTGAACTCAAACCCAGCCATGTTCTTCTCTTAACCCCACCTCCACCCGTAGCTCAAAGTTCATCTCCATGATCAGCTCAGCCCCCACCCCACCCTCAGCATAGCCTGAGCTCCACCTGCACACCCTCCCATGAATTCCTGCTTCTTCCATTGCACCATAGGATTTGTAGTTCTTTAACCCCCCCCACAAATGTGATGTGTGGCAATGCAGGAAGTCCTCCTCTCAAAGAGTGGATCAAGGATTTTTTCTCTGGCGAGTTAACCTCACAGGGTCCAAAAAATCAGGGAATACAAAAAAAGCAAGCTTATTATTATTATTATACAGGATGTATATAGCGCCAACTGTTTGCTCAGCACTTAACATTATAGTGGGAGACAATACAGTAACAATACAGTTCAATACAAGAGGGATTTGAGGTCCCTGCTCCTTGGAGCTTACAATCTAGGAGGGAGGGGTGAATGGTACAGTAGGTAGTAACTGTGGGGGATGGAGTGGTTGGAAGAGTAGAGGATTCCAGAATTAGCAGAGGGCAGGATAGGCGTCCCTGAAGAGATAGGTTTTCAGTGATCGCCTAAAGGCAAGTAGAGTAGGTGAAAGTATGATAGATTGGGGTAGGGAATTCCAGAGGATGGGTGACGCCCTGGAGAAGTCTTGGAGACGAGCATGGGAGAAGGAGATAAGGGAGCTAGAGAGCAGGAGGTCTTGCAACGAGCAGAGTGTACGGTTTGGGTGATATTTAGAGATAAGATCGGTTATGCAAATCGGGGCAGTGTTGTGGATGGCTTTATATGTCATTGTTAGTGTTCTGAATTTTATCCGTTGGGCAACTGGGAGACAGTGGAGGGATTGGCAGAGAGGGGTGGCAGATACAGAATGGTTAGTAAGGTGGATGAGTCTGGCAGCTGCATTCATGATAGACAGGAGGGGGGATAGCCTGCAATGAGGTAGGCCAATGAGGGAGGGAGTTGATCATATATTGATTTAAACTTTGAGTGTTTTTTTAGTTGCTGGGGAAAAGATGTAAAAATGATAATGTTGCAGAATCCTGGAGTTCAGCTTTAAATCGCGTACATAGTTCTGTCCCATATATCTGACAGATTGCCAGAGAACTCATCTCTAGTGGCTTCTTAGTTTTCTCTAAGTTTCTTTGTTGGTTTCATTGTTAGTTTGAGTCTTACACTTTGCTCTGCGATATCTGCAGAATCTGCTCCCTTTAGGTCTGCGTGGTCAGAGGCATAATGTATCTGTGTTTATTCAGTGATTAATAGAGTATCAGAGCCTTGTCTAGACATTTTTTCAAGTTTTGCAAAAATG